GCTGGTAGTTTCGAACCGCTGACCTTAAGGTTCGCAGCCCAATTCGTAACCACTACGCTACCAGACCCATTAGAGAGATGCAAATCAAAACAACAATGAGATATCATCTCACACCAGCAATAACAGCGAAGATATAAAAAGTAGAGGACCCAGAAAGCCTCAGCTCTCTCACAGGTAATAGGTGGTAGTTTTGAACTGCTGACCTTGAGGTTCACCACCCAATTCGAAACCAGAAGAGTTAAGGAAAAAGGAGGAATGGAACCAGAAAAGACAGTGAGGAAGTGATGCTACATTGAGGGGACTGCAATCCCTGAGATTAAACAAACTGTGTATGAATCACTGAAGGTAAAACTGATGGTCTGCTCTGTAAACCTTCACCCAGTTCACAACAAAAAGTTTTACTATAATTCCTGAGATGAAACAAACTGATGGTCTGCTCTGTAAACCTTCACCCAGCTCATAATAAAAGGTCTGAAAACAAAACAACAAAAAGTAGAGGACAATAAATGCTGGCAAGGATGCAGAGAGACTGAGACCCTTCTACATTGCTAGTGGGATTGCAAAATGGTCCAGCCACTCTGGAAAACAGTATGGTGCTTTTCAGATCAGAAAGTTGGAAATAGAAATGCCTTATGATCCAGCAATTCCTCTACTTGGTATTTATCCACAAGAAATATGAGCCATAACACGAGTAGGTATATGCATGCCAATGTTCACAGCAGCACTATTTACAAAAGCCAAAGGATGGAGACAGCCTAAGTGCCCATCAATGAATGAATGGATAAACAAACTGTTGTACATACACACAATGGAATATTATGCTACCTTGAAGAATAATAAGGAAGCTGCAAGCCACTGCATAACATGGATGAACCTTGAGGACATTATGCTGAGCGAAATTAATCAGTCACAAAAGGAGAAATACAGCATAGGACCTTATTGTAAAAGATTAAGAAAAAGTACTCAAACTAAAAGGGAAAAAAACAAAACAAAAAATTTTCTTTGTTGGTTACTGGGGTGTAGGGGATGGAGTGAGGGGAGGGAGGGGTAGGTAAAGCACAGGTTAGTGAATAGACACAGGATAGTTTGGGTGCTGGGGGGGTGGCAATAAACAAGAAGGGGGAGGGGAATGAAAGAACAAGGCGGATAGGAGAATAGTTAGGCAGGTTTGCATGGGCTAAATGGGACAGAGGTAAATAGTGAGTATGCTCTGTGTGCAACCTTGGGAACAACAGGGCTCTGGGATACAGGGATTGAGACATGGTTTAAATGGGTTAAAGAGGGGAAATAATGTTAAGATGCTTGGCTGTCTTTTGAATCTTGGTTTCCCTTGCCTACTACTATAAAATAGACACTTGAGGAGGAGAGAAAGGAATATCCAGAAATATCACCAGAGAAAGCTTGTAAGTCCGTTTTCAACCTTTAACTGATTGGAATACCTAAAATGAGGCTAGGATTTGCCCAGTGAAGAAGCCTTCCTGCAGAACCTCTGCATTACATAAGACCATAGGTGGAATCCTTATCCCCAGCCAGAATCTTCTGAGGTGGGAAATTTCCACTTGAAAGGACAAGCAGACCAGCCTGGAGCTGCCGGAAGAACAGAAGTTACTTCTTGAAAGAAAGATCAGCAGGAAAAATCAAAAGTATTAACTACAGACCGATTGACTACTACAAGAACAAGCAAGCTGTTAGTCCAGGAGCCATCACGGCAAGTGGTCGGGTCCCCTCAGGGCAAACCCCCCCATTCCAAGACTGAGACTCAAGGGGAATACACAAGCAGGCATGTGGTCTTGCTGGGGACCACGTTGGTCTACCAATAAGGGGAAGTGGAGGAAAAACAGCAATGAATTTGTGAGCTAAGTCCAACCACGTTCAATAGACTATCAACCTGGACTGAGATTTGGTTGGCCAGCAATATGGCAAAACCTGGAACTCCTGGGCTCAGGGACAGGGGCATGGCCACAGAGGACTAGAGAGTGCAGTGTCCAGCTGTTATGAAGTGAGGGGAGATGCACAAGAACACCCATACTTGCAGATAGTACCCATATGACCTGGCTTCAATGGCTGGATGATCAGAACTCGACTAGAAGAAGAAGAAGAAGAGGAAAGAAAAACGTAATCTGCTATGCTTTTTGATGAACTTGACTTATACTTACAGATGTAGTATAGCTCAAAAGAGGGAACGAATCTTTACGGTGAGGATCATTCCCACCCTCTGAGTACACAGGGTTGACAGGAATGAGCAACTTAAGACACTGGCTAACCAAAATGGGGGGATGACAAAGGCACAAAGTGACTGGCTTACAAGCTTTCAAGAGGGAGCCTAGTTTTAGAGGGTGTGGGGGAAGGTAGAATCTCCACTCAGTAGTTTCTAACCTGTCTGGACGGGGCTGATGAAAGAAGATGGGGATAAGACTCTTGTGGTTCAATAGTGAATAACTGCTATCAGGATTGATTGTGAATGCTGCAAAAGTAAAAGTAGACGTTTTTGTAACAAAAGGAGGGGAGTGGTTGATTTTTGCAGTCCAGGAGCAGAGGATCCTGGGACCATCAAGGGGGACGAGCGGAGTGCGGGACCTTATCCAGAGAAGCAGTGACACCAGAGATGGAGGCAGAGACGACGATGCGGAGAGATGGAGCGGCTGGGGCTCTGGACTCAGGAGGGAGAGGGGCTGTGTGCTGACAGCCAGGGGGCAGGCTTGCGGGGTGTATCTTTTGGTGTTTGAACGGTTATATATTCCTAAGTGCTTTGGTGTACATCTGAAAAAAAAAACAAAAAAAAAAACCCAGAGGAAATGGAAGCAAATGCTGTTGAATGTTGATGCATGGAGGGGATTGTAATCACTGCAATGAAACAAAATACAATAGAATGAATGTAAAGCTGATGTTCTCCCATGTAAACTATCACTCAATTCACAATAAAAACTTAAAAAACAAAAAAAGGAGTGTGTCAGAATTGTACCCTTTCACCATAGTTATGCAATCTGATGCTGAGTAAATAATCTGAAAAGCTGGACTACATGAAGAACTTGGCATCAGTACTGAAGGAAGACTCATTAACATATGATATGCAGATGACACAACCTTGCTTGCTGAAAGCCAAGATGACCAGAAGCACTTACCAAAGAAGATGAAGGTAGCCTTCAGTCTGGATAACTCAATGTACAGAAACCAAAAATCCTCACAATTGGTCCAATAAACAACATCATGATAAATGGAAAAAAAGACTGAAGAAGTTGTCAAAGATTTCATTTACTTGGTTCCACAATCAATGCTCATGGAAGCTGCAGTCAAAAAATCAAATGACATATTGTATTGGACAAATCTGCGGCAAAAGACCTCTTTAAGAGTATTAAAGAGCAAAAATGTCACTTTGAGGACTAAGGTGCACTTGACCCAAGTTACGGTACTTTCAATGGTCTCATGCATGTGAAAGTTGTACAATGAATAAGGAAGACTAGAGAAAAATGGATGTATCTGAATTATGCTGTTGGTGAAGAATACTGAAAGTACCATGGACTGTCAAGAGAACAAACAAATCTGTGTTGGAAGAAGTAAAGTCAGAAAATTCCCCCTTAGAAGTGAGGATGGCAAAACTTTGTCTTATGTCTCTTGGACATATTATCAGGAGGGACTATTTCTGGGACAAGGGCATTATGCTTGGTAAAGCAGAGAGAGAGTCAATGAAAAAAGGGAAGACCTCCAATGTGATGGCCTGACATACTGGCTGCAATGATGGGCTCAAACATAACAACAATTGTGAGGATGGCACTGGACCAGCCAGTGTTTCATTCTTTTATGTATGGAGTTGCTAAGAGTCTAAGCTCACTCAATGGCATATAACATCAACAACTTTCTTCAGAAGAATGAGCTATCAGGGTAGTGACTAGAATTGGTAATAAGTAACACATCTGTTCAATTTCTATTACAAGTAATTGGGATAATTTGCCCTTGGTATATCATATTTGTATTTTAATATAAAATTGACAATGGCAAGTTGAAAGCACAATGAGAACTTAAAGGGACATACCCCAAACCCACACCCATTGAGGCAACTACAACTCACAGTGATCCTACAAGACAGACTAGAACTGCTCTGTAAGGTTTCCAAAGCTTTAAGTCTACAGAAGCAAACTAGCCCATCTTTCTCTTGAAGAGCAGTTGGTGGGTTCAAATCACAAACCTTTTGGTTATCAATCAATGCTTAACACACTGTGCTATCCAGAGCTCCTTTTAAGGAGCATAGAGAGTAAAAGTTAATGGTGATGAATCAATATGAGTAGAGATAGTAAGAATGGTGAGACATTGTGAAGAATATAACCAATGGGATTGACCTGTACTTGTAAGAAATTGTTGAACAAGTTACGTTTTGTTATGTACATTTTCACCATAAAAAGAAAAATTTTAAAAAAAATCCAGGGCAGCCCTTTCTCCCCAAGTTCTAAGTAAAACCAATTCCTATCTCTTTTCTCCCTTTTACTTGTCCCAAAGTAGCTATAATGTAACAAACATCTTTGTTCCCCGGTCCCTTTTATCTCACACTCCAATATGAAAGAATCCTGAGTGAATTCCGTATCAGTCTCTTACCCTGCCAGGAAAGCTAAGGAGTAGGAGTTGTTCTTGGAAACAAATGCTGAGCGATGTGTCTGTATCATCTTGCCTTGAGAAGGTTCTTCATTTTCTGAATCTGAGAGACGTGCAGGACACTGGCAGGGAGACAAGGGAGACAAAACCATGAAATCTTCCTCCCAGCTAAAGCTTCAAATCTTTCCATATGTTACCTGCATTTCCAGCTGCCCTGATACCCCAATCTGGACATCCCAAATACCACTCAAAACTCAGTACATATAAAATCCAACTCACCATCTTTCTTATCTAAGCTCCACCAACCCAGTCAGAAACCTCAGTGCTTCCTCCTTTTCCTTACTTCTAAGTCATAACATTTGCACAGAGATTTTAAGTATGTTGTTAGGTGCCGACAATTCAGTTCTGACTCATAGCAACCTTGTATAGGGTTTCCGAAGTGGTGAATCTTTATGGGAGCAGAAAGTCTCATCTTTCTTTCTCTGAGGGGTAGCTTGTAGGTTTTCCCATCCGTGGTTAGCATTCCAGTGTTTATCCTATAGTGCCACTGCTAATACCTGTAAATATTTTATTTCATTTACTCTTTTATCAGTCCTACTAAGCAGGGATTATCATTATAATCTATTTTACAGGTGGAAAACTGAAGGTCATAGTAGCTAATGTACCTAGGGTTACAGATAGCACACTCTATAGGGTAATTCTATTCTGTCACATGGGGTTGCTATAAACTGAAATAATCAAAAACAATATAGAACTGGCAAGTGACTAAAGCTGGAAGTGAAATCTCGAGTTTCTCTTGGCAAATTGCCTTCATGGTCTTTCTAGCATTCAACAATCAATTCTACTCCTAAATGTGGCTTAAATCTAACACTTCCCATATGAAATCACTGTTACTGCCTGACCTTAGAGTCACCTTAGGCCTAGAGCTACATAAGATAGGAAATGTTTACCTCTGTTTTCACCTTGGATAAAAATAAACCTATAACACCATGGATTCCAAAGATGGTATAAGGTAAACAAAAAATTAAATTCCTAAAATGGTATCTAAAAAAATTTAAGGAATAATAATTGGCAAGGGTGTGAGAAAATTAGTTTAGTATTCACGTACTGTTGGTGGGAATATAACTATATGTTTTTTGGAGAATAATTGAGTAATAAATACCAAAACCTTACAAAGAATACATCCCCCTTTGACATAGTCATTCCACTTTCGGTAACTTAGCCTAAGAAACTTATAAGATAGTGATGTTTAAAATAAAAAATATCAGTAGGAGATTAATGAGATAAATTAAATAAACACAAGTCTTTAAAAATACTACAAAACTATTACATAATGACATGGATTCTTTATTTACATGAAAAGACATCCATGATTCAGAATTAATTAGGAAAAGTTTGTGCACCGGGCTGCATATTTTAAAAAGAAAAACTTAATTATAGTGTATGCACATATGGTCTTAGAAAAGCAGCCTCAAAAATAGTTACCAAAATTTTTACAGGTAAATGTTTATAGGAGCTATTTTTAGGATGTTGGATTATAAGCAATTTTCACTTTCTGCTTTATATTTTTGGTAAGACTGTAATTGCTATACCAAATTGTTTTCTAACTCATATAGTATTACTTTGTACCATAAAAAATCATAACAAATTAAAGATTATGCTCATTTTATTTCCATTTTAAAAAATATAATAACACAGATGACGATCTTTGTTTCTAGAATAAATATTTTTCCTCCTTTCACTATAATTCAATTTAACAAACATGTAGATCTTGAAATAGATTTTTAAAAACAGGCAAGGCACATTTTCTATACTCAAAAACTTAGCATCTAGTAAACAAATAACTGTAATGTAAAGGAAAATGAAATTACACGGGGGAGGATGGTGGAAACGGAGAAGCCAGTGAGAAATCCCTAAAGGTTACATGAAGGTGACAACCTTTGAATTGGACATGGAGAGATGAATAAGTAGCCTTTAAACAGGTAAACTGGGGGACATTTCATGAGATGAAAATTCAAGAATAAGACCCCAAAGAGAAAAATCAGAGAGTATCTGGTATGGGAAAAAGCAAGCTAACAGCTCTGTGTCATAGCGTTCTGAGGTATAAGCAAGTATGGAAAGAGAAGGTGGAATTAATACTAAAGGAAAAGCCTTGAATATTAGAATGAAGAGTTTTCATTAAATTCTATAGGGAATAGGGAGTCACTAAGGTTTTTTTAGACAGGAGAGTGAAATATCAGTCAAGGTCTAAACATAATATTCCTTATAAAAAATAAAATCTTTAAGCTGGCTTTCCACTAAAACCACTTGAGTGTCTCCTGTGTCTCAATTTAAACATAGCCTTAGTTAAGCAAAATGCAATTATTTGCTCAACACTGAAAACACCAGAAGACCTATTAGAAGCAAAATTAGAGCCATTTAAAAGCCCTCAAAAATATAAACAGACAGGAAATAGGGAAAACCACAAAAATCTAAAACTTGTACTGTACATACGTCAGCTTATTCAAGTGTTTTTGCGTAGGAGTTTTGGCAAAAGTGGTATTTACCAATAAAAACTAATCTCAGAATTTGTGCTTCTTGATTCCTTTACAGATTAAAACTAAGCTGATGCACCTGATTTTTATTCTAAAGATGGTAGTGGCAAAAGAAAAATTCATTTGAACAATTTCCTCTCCTGACCTGAATGAACAAAAGAGATCATTTCTGGGAGGGAATCTGGATTTGGCAGGCCAGGATCAGCAGGCTCTTTTTTACTGGAGAACCATGGTGAAGAGAGCTCTCTGTCAGGACTGACTGTCCTACAAAGAAGGGTCCTTCTGGCTTGCTGGGCCTCAAGGTACTACTGGGCAGTCCTATTGGAGTGAAGAGGTAAAGCTGCATACTTTGAGAGGCCACACAGCTGGGACTACTAGCCAAGACAGACCATATGCAGAAGACCATCCTAGCTACACTGTTGTCATTGTGGAGTGCCGTCAAGTCGATTCCAACTCATAGCGACCCTGTATAGGGTTTCTAAAGAGCAGCTGGCGAGACTGAACCGCAACCTTGCAGTTCTTTGCAGTCTGGCACATTAACCCACAGCACTACACCAGGACTCCTCCCGTATTAGTTAACTAATAATAACTATCATTATTGCTGAGCTGGTATGATGCTGCAGAATAAGTACTGGACTGCTAACCACAAGACTGGCAGTTCACACCTACCAGCCACCCTTGGAAACCCTCAACAGGGTCGTTATGAGTCGGAACTGACTCGATAGTATACAACAACAACATCATTACTGTTATAAATGAAGATAGAAGGCATGTGGGAATAAATACTACTGGTCCTGAAAGTTTAAATAATTTCAATTGTAAAGCTTAGGAAAAATACCTTTGCCAAGAGTCAATCAAAAGCACAAGAAATTAAGCAACTAGGCCAAAGTTACACAATCTGTTATAGTGCTGGTACTCATTTAGCAGAAAGTCTTCTGGTCCAGACATTTATTTTCTATTCTATGACGCCTGCCTTTACATAGAGTTGCTGTTGTTGTCAAGTGCCATCGAGTCGATTCTGACCCATAGTGACCCTGTATAGGGTTTCCAAGGAGCAGCTGGTGAGCTTGAACCACTGACCTTGTAGTTCAAACGACTTTGCGGTCGGACGCATTAGCCCACAGTGCCAACCAGGACTCCTTACATAGAATAAGACATTATTAATTCCGGCTAATTTGAAAGAGTAGCCTAAAATACTAGAAGACTGAATCACAAAATATTTTAAAAGATACGACTCTAAAGGATATGTTAAGTAAACACAGGGAGCAATAGCAGATGTCCAATCCAATCTGAGTTAATTACTGAAATAAAATTAAAATGTAATTATCCATTTGAGTATAATCAGTGGACCACTCCAAAAGAACTTGCTTATGTAAATTAAACATATCTCAGTAATTTGCTTGGTAAATAATGAAAAAAAGTGAGGCAGGATTTGGCCAAACTAGAGGTCTAGTTAATTTTAGACTAGGTTTCTAATCTTAACATGAGGACCTACCTTAAAATTAGTATTGTGCTTCTTAGGACATTATTAAAAATAAAGAGAAGTAAAACATAAGTCTTAAGGAAATCTTGTTGAGGATACACAACTTACGAAAATTAAATGTCAAATAACAATAGAAGAGTAAAAAAATATATAAAAAACGTATCACAGGTAGTATAATAATACACTAAGTTTTCCTTCTCACTCACCTTTATCCCACCTGTCCCTAAATCTTCCTATACAAATCTCACTGTCTCATTCCTAAATCATTTTCTCTAACTCAAATTTGGATGCTAAGCTCTTCACTATTCGTAAACCGTGCAATTAGTAACTATTAATGGTCTCATAATTCATCAACATTTCAGATCCAAGTCACCCCAGCTAGCTGCTGATTCTGAGGCAGGTGTCCATCAAAAACTGATCTACTTACATGTTCCAGATTTGATTTCAGGGTTAACGGATCATCTCTTTTTTTTAGTTCATCCATTTTTCTTTTCCCTGTTTCTATATCCTCTGGTAAGAGTTTGTGGCTTTGATCTTCAGTGGCTTTCTCCTCTTGTAACTTTTCTTCTCTCAACTAAAAATATAAATCACACCAAGAGGGTAGAGTTTAGGCAACTCTAAATTTAAAAACATCTTTTACTGAGCATTCTATTAGAACAAATAGATCACATGGCAGTTTTGAGACTACTTTTCTTATCAGATATAAAGCTCTCTGATTTGGAAGTCTGATTTTACTTGGCTCTTGCCAAGCATACACTTCATGGCTTAAGGTTTAACTGCTCTGCATTCTTGGGCAATATACAATCACAAAAGCTAAAATAACATATATAATAAAAAAAATTATATTCACTCAGCCAAAAAAGATTGAATTTATCAACTTCCCTTACTCTCATAAGTCAAATATAACTGTACTGGATCAGAAGAGCAGAGAAAAAGACCACAGAGAGCCAGAGAAGCTGGGACTAGGCAAGAAAGGTCTTTATGCTTCACTGGCAACAGAATAAATGACTGATTATAGTCATAATGCCCTATGTAGGGTCCAGTAAGTAGGTCAAGAAAAGTCTACAAACAAGTTTTAGACAGATGCATATGTTTCTCATTTGGGGGGTGACATGACACTGTGAAAGCATGGGCTTTGGAATGGAAACTTGGGTTCCAAGTGGTTCAGTCACTTACTTAACAGCGATAAGATCTTGGGCAAGTGAACTAACATTTGCTTGCCTACAAAATATAGATAATGCTACTTATTTTGCAGAAATTGATGTAAGGAATGAGATAAGAATATAATACACACTACTGTCTTATTATGCACTTACAGTATTCCATGAGTACACTTTCCTCGTCTCCTATACTTTTCCCTTTACTACCAGAGTTTTAATAAAATTTAAATGCCATAATATGTCAAAGCAATTCTGTTGTTACTGTTAAGTTCCATCTCATGTTGTTCCAACTCATGTTGTTGTTGTTGTTAGGTAATGTCAAGTCAGTTCCAACTCACAGAGACAGTCAGTATATGGGGTTTCCGAGGAGTGGCTGGTGGATTTGAATCACTAGCCTTGTGGTTGGCAGTCTAGTACTTATCTTATCCTACAGTGCCACACTAGGACTTAAAAGCAATTTGTTGTACTGTGGTGGTTTGTGTGTTGCTGCGATGCTGGAAGCTATGTACTGGTATTTTAAATACCAGCAGGGTCACTCACGGTGGAAAGGTTTCACTTGAGCTTCCAGACTAAGACAGATGAGGAAGAAGGAGAGGCAGACTATTTTTGAATGTTTAGTCACTGAAAACCTTATGAAGAGCAGTGGAACACTGTCAGATAGCACCAGAATACGGAATATTGAAACATAATGAATAGCACCAGAATACTGTCAGATACAGTGACGGAAGATGAGCCCCTCGGTTGAAAGGCACTCATAATACAATTGGGGAAAAGTTGCCTCCTCAAAGCAGGTTGACTGTGATGGTGACAATGTTAGCTCCCAAGACCTTCATTTGCTGATACGACATTAACTCGAAATGAGAAGAAACAGCTATAAGCACCTTTTAATAAACTGGAACATAGAATGTATGAAATATGAAAATTGGAAATGGTCAAAAATGAAATGGAATATACAAATATTGGCATCCTACGTATCACTAAACTGAAATGGACTGGTATTGACCTTTTTTGATTCTTACAATCATATGGCTTACTATGCTGGGAATGACAAACTGAAGAGGAATGGCATCCCATTCACCATCAAAAAGAACATTTCAATATCTACCTTAAAATACAGTGCTGTCTGTGATAGGGCAATATTCATAAGCCTAAGGAAGACCAGTTAATATCACTTATTATTCAACCACTAAAACCAGTGATGATGAAACTGAAGAATCTTCTGTCCAAAACTGATCACACATGCCATCAAGATATACTAAAAACTGGTGATTGGGATGCAAAGGTTGGAAACAAAGAAGAAGGATTAGCAATTGGGATATATGGCCTTGCTTACTAAGAATAATGATGGAGATTGCATGACAGAATTCTGTAAGACCAATGACTTACTTCATTGCATACTTTTTAAAAATAACATAAAAGACAACGATACATATAGACCTTACCAGATGAAATACAAAGAAATAAAACTGACTATATCTGTGGGAAGAGATGGTGGAAAAGTTCCATTGTCATCAGCAAAAACCAATCCAGGAGCTGACTGTGCAAGAGATCATCAATTGCTCATATGCAAGTTTGGGCTGTGGCTGAAGAAAATTAAAACAAGTCCACTAGAGTCAAAATGAATTTTTTAACATATCCCAGCAGAATGTAGAGACTATCTCCATAACAGATTTGATACATTAGACACTAATAACTGAAGACCAGAAGAGTTCTAGGATGACATCAAGAATATAATACAGAACACTGGTAACTGATGGCACATGGGGGGAATAAAATCATTGTAATGAAACAAGGTGCATGATTTGTTGAATGTAAAACTGATGATCTGCCCTGTAAACTTTCACTCAATCCACAATAAAAACCTTTAAAAAAAAAGATAATGGAAAATTTACAACAAGAACAAAAAGAATATCATACAGGAAAAAAGCAAAAGGTCATTAAGAAGACAAGAAAGAAGGACAAGATCAAAATGGACTGTCCAGATGATAAAGCAAATGGAAGAAATGAGGAAGTAAAAGAGCTGAACAGAACATTTAAAAGGGCAGCTCAAGAATAAAAAGTCAGGTATTATAACGAAATGTGCAAAGACCTGAATTAGAATACCAAAAGGAAGAACACACCCAGCATTTCTCAAATTGAAAGAACCAAAGAAAAAATCCAAGCCTTGACTTGCAACATTGAAGGATTATATGGGAAAAATGGAATCCTGGTGTGGCACTGCAGGATAATGCACTGGACCACAAGGTTGGTTTGAACTACATAGTCAGCAGTTCAAACTCACCAGCCGCTCCTCAGGAACACTATACAGGGTCACTATGAGTCGGAACTGACTCAATGGCACTTAACAACAGCAATGAACGAAATACTGAACAATGGAGAAAGCATCAAAATAAGATGGAAAAAATACATAGTCACTGTACAAAAAAGAAATGGTTGATGTTCAACCATTTCAAGAGCTAGCGTATGATCAAGAGCCAATGGTCCAAGGTGCACTGAAGTCACTGGCAAAGAAAACAGGTCTGGGAATTCACACAATACAAACTGAAATCTTTCAACAAATTGATGCAGCACTGAAAACACTCACTCATCTGAGCCAAGGAAGTTGGAACTGGCCAACTGATTGGAAGAGATCCATTTGTGCCTATTCCAAAGAGAGGTGACACAACAGACTGTCATTATTCATTAACAATATCATTACTATCACATGCAAATAAAATTTTGCTAAAGATAACTTAAAAACCACTGTAACTGTGCACTGATAAGGAACCACCGGTGGTTCAAGCCGAATTCCAGTGAGGATGTAGAATGAGGTATAACAATGCTGACATCAGATGGCTGTTGGCTGGAAGCAGAGAATACCAGAAAGATGTTTACTGTGCTTTATTGACTGGTATGGTGCTGTAGGATAAGCACTTGACTATTAGGTCAGTTTGAACTGGAAAGTCAGTGGTTCAAATCCACCAGTTGCTCCTCAGAAACCCTATACAGAGTCACTATGAGTCAGAACCAATTCGACGGTCCGTAATAACAACAATGACTATACAAAGGCTTTCAACTGTGTGGATCATGACTAACTATGGACAACATTGTGGAGAATGAGTATTCTGGAACACTTAATTATGCTCTTGAGGAAACTGTACATAGACCAAGAGGCAGTTGTTTGAACAGAACAAGTAGACACTGAATAGTTTAAAACCAGGAAAGATGTGTACTAGGGTTGTGTTCTTTCACCATACTTATTCAATCTGTATGCTGAGCAAATATTATAAAAAGAGGAATGTGGCATCAGGATTGAGGGAAGAGTCATTAACAACCTGTGATATGCAGATGATACAATCTTGCTTGCTGACAACGAAGAGGGCTTGAAATACTGAAAAAGACTATATGGGTTGCACCTCAATGTAAAGAAAATAAACATCCTCACAACTCATCCAATATATTGTTGCTGTTGTTGTTGTGAAGTATCATCGAGTCAACTCCGACCCATAGCAACCTTGTATAGGGTTTCCAAGGTGAGCTTGAACTGCCGACCTTTAAGTTCAAATAAATGACTTTGTAGTCTGACACATTAGCGACACCACAGCACCAAACCAGGACTCCCATCCAATATATAATATCATGATAAATGGAGAAAAGATTGAAGTTGTCAAAGACTTCATTGTGCTTGGATCTACTATCAACACTAATGGAAACATCAGTCAAGAAATCAAACAACATATTGCATTAGGCAAATCTGCTGCACAAGACCTCTTTAAAGTGTTCAAGAGCAAAAATGTCTTTTTGAGGACTATGGTGCGCCTAACTCATGCCATGTTATTTTCAGTAACTTCATATGCATGTGAAAGTTGAACAATGAATAAGGAAGACCACAGAAAAATTTATGCATCTGAGTTATGGTGTTGGTAAAAATATTAAAAGTACCATGGACTACTAAAAGAACAAACAAATCTGTGTTGGAAGAAATATAGTCAGAATGCTCCTTGGAAGCCAGGATGGCCAAACTTCATCCCTCATATTTCAGATATTATCAAGAGGGACCAGTCCTTGGACAAAGGACATCATGGTAGGTAAAGTGGAGGGTCAGTGAAAAATAGGAAGGCCTTAATTAGCACAGTCGAAGCAGCAATGGACTCAAGCTTACGACTGTGAGAATGGTACGGGACCAGGAAGTGTTTCATTCTGAATTGCCTCAAAAGCACCTAACAACAACATTATTAATTGTTTTTACAAAAAAATTAGGCTACCCAAGAAATCTGTATTTTCAATTGTGCTTCAGGATTCAGCACAAAAACAACCACAACAATGAATGGCAATAATGCTTAGTCTTATCTTCCCAATTTCTATAAGCTTGAAGTAGTCTTTAACATACTAAGTCTAATTCAAGAGGTTATGCATATATGAAGAACACTATACC